CTATTGATCGATGGAGGTGCATCCTTAGGGGTTCATTCTAAACCTGACCACGCGACGACTGCTGACCCCAATCTAACAAAGGTAGACGTTGCTGCCTATTCACCGAACCCATTGGCACGTAGCACCCATATAGGCACACCCAGTGGATCTGACGCACACTTAGGAGCTTTCGCACGTCGGACCACATCAGCTCGTATTTGTGCCTCGGTGACTCATCACTTGGACCACGAGTTAGAGAGAGGCAGCACACGTGACTGATAAACAGCGCAGGCTTCGTTCAGCCCATGGCCACGATAATGTCAAATCGGAGTTGGATCACGCATCATGCACAGGCAAGCCGACAGTTATGGTTCCAACTGCATTATCCAACTGCCCGCCCCACTCAAACCCACCGCCATGATGATTGCCATTCGAAAACATAATAACCTATATTAGCCTTATACATGAGCAATTGCTGCTGCGATTGAACAACGGATCTCCACCTGATCGTAACCGAATTTAATTTGATAGTTTTTAAAAAATATTTTCTTCTACACATTCCCGAAATGCCAGCGAGGTGAGTTAGTGAATCAGGATTCGGGGCTCAGACATTGTCCGATTCAAACCAATTGACCAGATTGTTGCATTTTATCCTTTCATGATCCGGAGATAATTTTTTTTTAATTTGTCATAGACATTGTGTTCGTTCATAACGTTCCCTCTACTCGTTGGTCATGCAGTTTTAAAATCGAATGACATGGACGATTAAGTGGTCTGTTCAATACTACCAGTAGAGGACCAGAAGAGACACCGTATATTTCGTTTTCCTCGGCAGTTATTCATACCTCGTCTCAATATCAGCTGTCCTTGAATAATTTCTCTTTTTTTCGTTCTCAATTGACAACTGTAAACAGTTCACCTTTCGGACGAAGATCGGCATACATGCACAATAAATATGCCAATCAGGAAAGTTCAGTCATAGGAACTCGTCTCCGCAATAAATTTCTCCTCAATACACGCTGTCAATAATGAAGGTGTATTTTTATGCGTCATGTAATTGTAGAATTTCGGGCAATTCTGAGATCGGTCAGTTGTCCCAAATTCCTCTAAAAGTGCTCCCAAGTGACCAAGCATCTCGGACGGTTTCTGCTAATGCGTTAACACTAAAGTTGGGGACGGGCGTAAACTTAAATGTCCGGCTCTTTCCATCTGATCAACCGACCATTCGTAGTCCGTGCAGATCAGTTGGTTAAAACTCTGGTTACAAACCACCTACACTTGACGTAAGGAACTCATAGTGGATCAGCTCTCGGCACAACTCCGATCTGGACTCCATGAAGATGTATGGTTAATGGTTATTGAAACTGTAACTTCATGACGCTCACCGGCAAGTATGCGGCTTATATATTCAAGCATTCTAGAGATTTCTGCACTTGCACGCAAAACGCACTCTTCTGAAAAATTGCACGCATCGCTTCTGTTTATCTTCCCCTATCCACCCACATAATACATCCTTCTTCACTACCTGCTGTGTTTCGAATAGTTCCACTGACCTAGGATCATGTTATACCCAGCCTCGATCTCCCTCCACAACTTTCTCAGCAGTGCTATCTCATTCGAAACTTCCCAATTCGTTCCTCCGACCTGATTCTGCTGTCCAGCTGGCCTCGTTCAACTTCAGAACGCTATTGCGTACACGACAACAAAGAATTTTGAGTTATACTTTAGAAACTATATAGATTGGCGTGTTATCTCTAAGAAATACGCTTTCAGGATCCGAGCTCAGAGGTCTGATTTACGTCTCCTTCCAACCCGGAAGATTGGTTTTTCCGGGAACCTTGACGCACCAGCGCCTAGTCAAGCAAGAGTTGCCTTAAACATCAGGGCCGAGGCTGCTCTGTTGGATTGGATCCCGGTGGACAGCCGACTATATGCGATAAAACTTCGAGGTTTACCTAAGGTCAGCAGGGAAAAATCAAACGAACGGTGCTGTATTATGTTCCACACAAGTCTGAATCCAGACGGTGCCAAACCAATCGAAGTACAATGATATTTAGAAAAAAGAGAAAGTCCCATATTTTTGTGGGCGGAATACTACCAGGTTGCTCGGGCCAGGGCAGGTGAATTTTCTTGAAGAATCCACAACCGGAGCCTTTGGCTAGCCGAAGCCTGACATATTGAGGCAGCGGGGCGGTGTGTGAAAACCGCAATCCGTTGAGGGCCGGTGTCTGGTACATCGAATCATACATCCTTTGGTCGGGGTCAAACGTCCAAGGAGCCAACTACACCTATTCACGGTTTTTGCACATGCTCCCACAGACTACAGCCTGCATACAGTCACACATGGCTTCTGAAAGTTCACATGAGGTTCTTCTTAAAGCATCTGGGACGGATATCGCTTGGTCGAAGACCTAAGTGCACGCGATGGTCGTCTGTCCTCCGGTGAGGCTCATTTTGACATATTCCTTTCACTGAAAGGACGTGTGTATTGCGTATCGGTACGTGCCGTGTTGCTCCATGGCTGAAAAACTTGGCTTCCCCGGACAGATCATGTTTAACGACTATCCATCCTCGGGAACCGTTGTATGCGCAGCATCGTCCGCGTATTGTGGGAGAATTCTGTGTGCAGCACTGAGGCCAGATCGTGTGTATTAGGGTCAGATAATCTTCCATCGAACAAAACCATTGTATCACACTGTCTGAAGTGGCCGGGGTAAGTCTTACGAATGCTTGGAAAACATCTGCCCCACCACGCTTTAATCGAAAACATTGGAATGAACTGAAAGAAACTGCGAGGTGGGCAAGCTAAGACGTGTTGTAGAGAGTTGGAGATATTGTGTTCGATTCTGAATGGCGTCAGGGTTTCCCAGTTTCAAGGTTGGGACCCTAAAGATTCAGATTGTCATTGGCTAGAGGCACTGCAACAGGTGGCATTGAACCGAACTGAGTTCCGTAAATGCATCTCTGCCTGTCTAAAATCCCTAAAATAAGATGAAAAGTAAAGCATTAACCAAGCGAAAAATGTCAGTATCGCCTACCCGAAGCTGATTGTTTTTATGTTGTTGATTATTGGATACGCATACTCGACGCGCGGTGAGAATCGCGAAGCTGGTTGTGTGCTT